CAGCTGGAATTTCATAAGCAGCTAAACTATGATCATCCAGGGCATGCTGAATGAAAAGGACATGTCTACAGCAGAACATGCTAAAATGAGGAATGTCTGTACAGTCTGGCATGAAGCAAGAGCATACTGAATTAGGTCACTGCTTTAAGTGTGAATGTTTCCCTTCTTTAGAAAGAGGTACTCATCCTTTGCAACAAGGAACCAAAACAGAATGCTAATATAATAAAAACAAATTTAAAAGCATTTTCAATTAGCATGCTGGTCTATTCCCTGGTGCTTAGAGAATCAGTGAGCTCTTTTGTAAGGAACAGAAACATTTCCATAGTTGAATATACATAAGGCCCTGGAAATGCAGAAAGAATAACAACCAGTTGCTTCTGGAAAACTTGCAAAACTTTGAGCATTGTATAAGCCTCAGATGTCTTGTTCTTCAGAGAGCATGGGGAGTATTGCAGATAGACTTGTTTCAAAGCATTGAAATGAAGTGAAATACCAGCACATGCAATTTAAAGCTTTGTAACTTAATCTTTAAACACTGAAATCCTGATCCCAGGGAATTCTGCGTGATTACTTATTTCCAGGTAATCTTATTGTTTGTTCTTATAAACTTCAGAATGTACTGTGTGACACTGAATTAATTTTCCTATTGTGATTCTTGGGATCCTGTGTACTTTTGCTAATTCTGGGGTTTCACAGCCTGCCTTCTCTTGTAATCATCTTCTACAGCCTGGGAGTAGTTACTGGAATTCCTAAAATAGTGCTGTGCCAGGCCTAATTCATATCAAAGCTGAGTTGTGAATATGTGAAACTAGTGCTTTTCTGAAGAGAGGGTGGTGAAGTAGAGGGCTTGTAAACCCTCCTTTTGCGATGGGGTGAGAATTAAGATTATTCCTGGCTTCCCTCCTTGAAGGATGCAAGATGAAATCTCTGTCTGACTCCTTTATGATGACTCTTCTCAGTAGAAGTAATACTGGGAGGAAAAAAAGAGATGTCCAAATTGGCTCAGTCCCTACTGCTTTAGCAAACTAACTTTATCCCTTCAGCTCTCCATGTGCAATTTAAAATTTTAATGTTGTTTAACATAACTGGTTGCACAAACATTCCTTGCCTTTAAAGGCCACAGGGAAACTAGTGGGAAAAATGTCTTGTCTTTATGGTGTTGCACGAAAACTGTCAAAGATAAACAGGCAAGGCCTATCTCTGTGCAAAAAGGCTGTCTTGTTAATAAGATTGTCACTATCTCACCAGAAAAGGGTTTCAACTAATGAGGGAATAATTAGAGCCTAGAAGGAAAAGAACCAGCGAGCTCTATACAGCCCACCACGTGTAATTTCCATTGCTTCAGAAATGGCTTATTGTTTCTCTTCCCTAAGCACCCCTTAAGGCAGTGCTCCACAAAACAGCCCTCCAGTGTAAAAAAGGTAAAGTGCCAGTAGGAAGGCTCAGAAACCTGCGGTTATTCATAATCATTTGTTCTTGTGTTGGTGATGCAATGCAAGCGGCGAGTCCCTGTGGAGGCGTGCTGACTTTCTTAATCCATGCTTACCATACCGATGTACATTTGGCCACAGTTAAGAAAGTTATTAAGGACGGAGTTGTTCTTTCATTGCCCCCTGCTATTGTCTGAGGTAATCTTAATCTCCCGGTACATTGTGTTCTCTTGACACCACATCAGGAAATCTGTTGTCACTTGCTTCCAAGACATGAATGAGACTTAAAGAAACTTAGTGACTCATCAAAGTTGAACACAGGGCAATTTATTGGTAGAGCAAGAATTGAATAAAGGCCTACTAGGCTAATGTTCCAGCTTCAGGGGTGTCTATTTATTGCTTAACAACAGTTACTGATTGTTTAAAGCCCATGGTGGTAGGAGGTTGTGTGACTTAGGTGGCTTTAAGTTAGAGGTTCAGTGATGAACCAAATCTGGCTGTGGTTTGCAGCTGCCTGCTCTGCCCATTATCAGACTGTACCATGGTAGCCCAAATGATCTCTTAAGACAGTCTTAACTAGAAATATTAGCTTCTGCTTTCTAGAACATGCTTTCATTTTCTTTAATTATCCTGTAAAAGTGAGGAGAAGGGTAAAGGAAAAACACAAAGCTCTCTTTGTGTCCTGCTGAGCTGTAAGACTAGCCTTGTTTCCCACCCTGTCCCCAGTACCAAAAGCATCTCTTCATAAGTTGAATAGCTAATTTCTGTAGTGGTATGGTAGCTGTGTTTGTGTATACAGCGATGCAAAAATGCTGTTGTTCTTGACAGCAGTAATAGGGCTGTGCAGTGAAAAATAGTTGGGACTGGATTTGTCAATATTTTATGCAAGTCAGGTAGTTTGATCCTTTTCCAATATGCCTTGACTGATCTAAGATGTGCTAGCTTCTGAATGGAGTGGCTTTAGTACAGTCTAGCATTAGGTAGGTTTAAAGAAATGTGGTTCTTCGTGTTATTAATTGTGGCTTCACCTCTTGTGGTCTCACAGAACAAGAATTCAGGAAGAAATGTGAAAAAAACCATCATATAGGCAACTTTATACTAAAGAAAGCTTGGGATGATATTGCATCATTTCTGTGAACTGGTTTTATCCTGTAGATTGTTTTTTCTTCTGTCTCCCTTGATTCACCACATTTGGACCCTGGTCTGAGGATACATCTGGTGTTGATCACTTTATAGGCATTTAACTTGCATTTATATAAAGTTGTGTTTGTGCAGTGAAGAGTGACTAACTTCTGTCTTATTTGGACTTAAAAGGATGTCATCTAGAATTCTGTTGATAAAACTGTTACTTATTTTTACCAAAGTGTGAGGTAGCTTTACATGAGTTCATAAAGCTTCAGTTTCAGATAACTATTGCCTTTAAGCTGCTGTATTAAGAAGTTCTACATTATGGATCTAATTTATTCCTGAACAGGGTCATAGGCAAGGCCTTTAGCACTAGAAATACTAATAATTTCTTCAAGCGGTCCTGTAGACTTCAGTCGGACAACTCCAAGGTGTGTAGCTCTTGCAAAACATGTGCATGCAAACTTAGGATCAGCCATCGCAGGCGTTGGTGGTATGAATAAATTACTTAATCTTCTAGGCCATGTTATTGGAGCTTTCTTGCAAATGAGCATGCCGAATATCGTGTTACCACTGATATGTGGCACCTGGTTCTCACTAAAGCAATATCCCGATGCTGGAAGCTGAATGGGAAGGGAGGAATGTCACAAGGACATAATCGGGGAGAAATGTTACAAGGTGTTTGTTGTAAACAGATGGAGTGCATCATGGCACCATTACTTATTTGCAAGGACAGAGTAAGATGGGGTTTGTGGCCGCTGGTGGTGTTAGATAACAATCTGTCCAACTGATATATAGGGAGTATTGGAGTGGGCAATTTTTTTTCTAATCGCATAAGCATACTGAAACTAAACTGAAGTTAGTCAAGTCCCAGAACTTCCCCCAAACAATAATTACCCAACACAGTTGAAAAGAATGTAGAGCTAATAGATCCCTGGATAAATTTTAATGAGCTTCACTTACTTTCTACAACCAAGTTTTACACGAAAGTATTTTATTAATATGTTAGAAAGTAGACTAACATGCATTGAGCTTACTTCTCAGCTCTTTATGCTGTCATTGAAGAGGCCTGTAAACCGTTTTGCTGACTATTGTTGCTGAGTAGGATTTTTGGTATCCCCCTCTTGCCTAACTGTGGTGTTTTTCCCTGGTCTTTTCCTCCGAGCTGGTTTGGTCAGCAGTGTAAGAGGGTGACCCATGCAAATAGTCAATGCCTCTTCATGCTGGCCTACCCAAATCAAAATGTGGAAATGTTAGTGAATGGGTAGTCTGAGGCTCACTTTCATCAATCAGGAATTGGGGTTTGAATTTGAATTTCTGTTGAATCTGACCTGTTCTGAGATGCTGTTTCTGTGAACTTTGATATTCAAATCTGCAATACTTTATTCACGAGTGAATGATTATTCCCTACAATATATTTACTTCAAAAGCAAATGGAAATGCAAGCTTCTGCTGCTGCTGCTTCAAAATAGTTTTTGGAATTTTTTTTAGTTTAGAGGAGTAGGAAGGGCATGGGTTTTGTTGGGTTTGGGTTTTTTTTTTTCCTCCCAGAGAGGAAAACAAAACAAAAAAAAACCCAAGAAGGAATGGGGGAGTTAAATAAAACTTGATGAGACTAGAAGAACCCTTACTGCTTTAGCTAGCTATGTGAAAAATGTATTTCATTAGACTGTCCCTATTGCTATTTTCCAGACACTATGTCAAAGGGAATCAGTGATGGGTAATGCAATGGAAAGAAATAATGTTTTCTCTTTCTCCTTTTCCCACCCCTACCCCCAGTGATCCTTTGCATCCATGTGTTACAACTTTGTTCATGTGTTTTCCAAATGACCAGCTGCTTTGTAGTTCTAATATGCACCTTTCTTTTAATTTTAGGTTCTGTCCTCATTTTGCTGACTCAAACCGCAGATTCCAAGGGAAGGAGGGGAAGTGGAATAAAACACTCAAGTGCCAGAGGAAAAGCCAAACTAGCCAATGAAAATTACTGTTACTAAACTATAGACTGTTCTCACTTACACATAGTGGGGGGAAAAAAATTACTGTTGATTCAAAGCTTATAAAATGACTTTTGCAGACTTGCCTCACTGAACTTCCAATAGGCTAAAACCCTTCAACTAGGGTTGAACTAGGAAATGAAAATATGATTCCTTGCTGATGTCTTCCATCTTCTTCCCCCTCTGCAGGGTTTTTTGTTTGGGGTAGGAAATCCTGAACAAACTGTATGGCGTCAACCAAACTTACGGTTGATGGTTATGGATGACATAGGAACTTCAGATTTATGTCTCTGCAATGACACCTGATTAAGGCAAAGGTTGAAAACTGCTCACTTGTAGTAACTATTACAGTCATGCTTTCTCACTCTTTCTAAGATTTGAACTCTGGGGTGATGTTCCCTCGAAGGCATGAGCAAATAAGTCATCTTTTTGGATTGGAAACAGAAATAATATGAGAATGCCCAGAAGAGGCTTAATAATTCAAGCCAGGACTCGTTGGCTATTAGTGGGCCTTGCTTTACTATTCAGTTTAGTCTTGCTCATGTACTTGCTGGAGTGTGCTCCACAAACGGATGTTAATGGATCTCTGCCTGGTGTTGTAGGCGAAAACATGGGTAAAGAATACTATCAAGCTCTCTTGCAGGAACAAGAAGAGCACTATCAAAACCGAGCTACCAGTCTGAAACGTCAGATTGCCCAGTTAAAGCAAGAGCTTCAGGAAATGAGTGATAAATTGAAATCCCTACAGGAAAAAAAGACCCCCAGGGTCAATGGTGTGAACTACCAGGGCACCAAAGAACAAGCATCCAATGATCTTCTAGAGTTTCTTCATTCCCAGATTGACAAAGCTGAGGTGAGCGTGGGGGCCAAACTGCCTAGTGAATATGGCGTCATTCCTTTTGAAAGCTTTACATCCATGAAAGTATTCCAGTTGGAGATGGGGCTTACTCGGCATCCAGAAGAGAAACCTGTTAGAAAGGATAAACGAGACGAATTGGTGGAAGTTATTGAGGCTGGCCTAGAAGTTATCAATAATCCAGATGAAGAAGATGGACAAGATGAAGATGATGGAGTAGGAGAGAGGCAGCTGTATAGTGAAAATGATTTCATAGAAGGTATGTTTATGACATGCTTTCCAGCCAGTTAACAGAATGTCACAACAGGTGTTTAATAGTGTTTGTATTTCTAGGGGTTTTACCTACTTGAATATAGTCTTGAACAGTAATTACACAGTAAGAACTGTTGTTTCTAATGATGAGAATATTACTGCTTCATTATGTTGTGTTTTGTGGAGGGAGCAAGAAATCCATTTCAGAAAGGCTCACCACGAGAAGTGTACAGGGGAAGCTGTAACCGCTTAAACTACTGAGGCATTCATAATTGATTTTAGCTGAAGTCAGTGTGACACAACTGCTTATGGTACTGAATAACTGAAAGACTTCCAGTGAAACTGGTGGCAGTGGGAGGGAGAAATTGATTCATCTCTCTTGTTCCAGCATAGTTAAGCTATTCAGTATGAAGCTACAGGGTTTTTTCCTCATTCATCTCTATGCCACTTTTAGTTACTATTCAGGCTTTTGACTCTCGTAGAGCTGGCATACTCATATTGGAGGGAGAGCATTGGTAGGCTAACATGTTCTGGTCATGGCAGCTGAAGGACCTGGTGTGCTGAATAGACCTTTCATGGTATACTAGTTACAGGGTTTGCTGAGCTATGCAACTTTGAACTGTTCTCTGTTCACTATTCAATTCTCTTTCAGTGCTTGTAAATTCAGTTACAGAACACATTACTGTAAAAACAAAAATAGCAGTTATGCTTTCAACATTTAGTGACACCCTTAAAAGATGCATTAGTGGTAATTCCTACAGAAGTTGGCTTTCAAGGTACAGTGTAATGCTGATGGAGATAGGTATTATCAAAAACTGCCCTCGTACCTCTTTTTTGTATTTACAGTATTAAATACGGTTCACGCTGCCATTAAAAAAAAAAAAAAAACAAAAAAAAAACCAACCAATAAAAAACCATAAACCAACCCAAACCCAAAAGTCGGACCATGTTATAAGAGCATTACTGTAGAAGGGATTCTGGATCTCAGCAGTACTGATGTCTGCACTATTAAGCAAACACATGCTGGAGAAAGGTACCGTTGGCCTTGAAATAATCTGTTCTTTCAGTCTAAGATGATGTAATGGGCCTGTAGCGCAAAAAGTCTCTGCTTTTAACAGCTACTGTGTTTAAAGTTTAATGCAAGTACTCTCCGTTCCAGAAGGTGGGGCAGGGCGTAGAATCCACCTCGGCAGCCTCAGTGTAACCCAGCCAGTGCAGTGTTAGGCTCTTAGTACAGTTTTCACTTAAAACCATATTATTTTGTCTGGAACTAGTCATTCTTGCAGTGTTTTAATTGTTTTCTTTTTATATTAAGTGTGCAGCTGCTTTTCCTTTACTGTTTTAGATACTGCTTATACTCTACTGGATTTTTTTACCAGTACTAAAATAGTTGTTAATTTTTTCTTAGTATGCTGCCTTTCATGACTGCAGACCTCCAAGAAAACAAGGAGATGTAGAACCTTAGAACTGTACTTATACCTCTGCCTCTGTTCACACCAGTATATTGATAATTGGTTTTGGAAGTTGAACTAGTTTCCTTTTGTTGTAAAGGCAGTTTCTTCAAGCATAGGTTACAGGAACTGTAGAAAAAAATACTCAGCACTTAAAAGAAGGTATTTTTATGCTGTAGCTTATATGGGTGTGTTAGGAACTAGCCATGGTGTTATATATGTGTCTTGTTTCAGAGAGAAGTTGTGGGTTGTGTGGGTATTCTGTGTTTATGTGTATGTGAGAATACTACTGGCTAATTTAGACACTGGGCCAGCAAAAAAAGCTGCTTCTGAATATTAACACTTTTTTTTTTTTTTTTTTTTGATTCGATTGTTCTGAAACTTAGAGGTGAGAAATGGAACCAGCCAGTAGTGGTACCTGCAGGTCCCTCATCCTGCAGCCCTGGGACTGGGCTCTAGTGCGATGCCTCGGTTGTCACTTTGGGCATCCTCATTTGATGGAAGTGCAGTTGGAAAGTTGATGTCTTTCCATTTAGAAAATACTGCCCCTTAAGCTATCATAAACTGGTGGGTTCCAGTTTCATAGCAGACTTGATGTATCTACTGAAGTCACAACAGTTACTGTAAGTGTCTGAAGAGCACAACTGAATTGTTGCTGGATTAGCATTGCTCATTTAGAGAAACACTTTGTTAAAGCTGGCTTGAGTGAAAACAAATAGCTTGTCACTTAGGTTCTTTATCCTCTTCAATTGCTAAAGATTTTTTTGTAGTAAGCGATTGAGGACTAAGACTGTAGAGTTTTATGCAATTTGAAACAAGAGGCTGAGAAATGTGGTCCATGGATTACTTGGGGGGCAGGCAAAAGAGAAAACTGATACTGCATTAGTTAATACGTAGCCATCATATTTTATGCTTTATACAGATAAACTGATTTTGCTTTTGTTCTGACTTCCAGGATTTTTTTCTCAAAACTGATTTATATTTATCTATAAAAACTTACACACAAAACTGCCACAAGCATAAGCTAAACTAGAAACAGGCATTTTTATTCTAGAAGTGTTCTAGCTTCCTACCTCAACAGGCTAACTTTTCATGTAGGTAAATGTTTGGTTCTGGGAATTATTTGAGCTTTTGTCCTGGACTTGTGAGATACTAGACTAAACCTTGAGCTATATAATCTTTTGTGGTATGTACTTTAAGTTGTATTAGTAAATCCTCCGAGAATTTGGTGGCTGTTTAAATAAGTTTAGAATCTTTTATCTTATAGACAATTTTACCTAATGGTATCTCTTCATCACCACTGAATTTCTGAAGGTCTTCCCCAGCATTTACATTGTCTTTGCCCACTCAGTGGAATATCACTGTCTTGATTTGTAAAAGCATCAAGATTTTTTTTCTTATGGTGTTTTAGGATTTACCTATATTGGAGTCACTTGTGACAACAAAGACTAATGACATGAATTTAAACTTAATCCACCTTTTCTATTTTATAAATAGACATTTCCTAAATAAACTTTTCTGAAAAAGTACACTTAATTACTCAATAATCCATGGTAGTCTGAATCAACTGATTTTATTACTCTAATACTGTGCGGGCCAAAAAACTTCACACTACATGCTGATGGATGGTAACTTTCTTGTCACTGCTCTGTTTTTTGCTGTGTGCCCTTGATTTAAGTGTTCATGCAGCTTTTTTGCTACGTGCTCAGCCTCTGTGGTGTCTACATGAAGATATTCTGCCTTCTACCAGTGGTGCAAGGAAGCTGTATCCGTGATAGCGAGTAGCCTGTTCAAGTGTTATTCAAACTGATGATGTGGGGTTTTTTTTTTGTTTTATTATTTTTTAGCATTGCAAAACAAAGTAATGGCCAGATGTGTTTTGGAGTTGTGATAAGGCAGAGCTGCCACAGCCACATCATGGCTATTGGCAGGCTTTGAGCAACAACACCAAGTAAAAAAAAAAACAACAAAAAAGATTTGCAAGTATTCATTGCAACTATAAAGATACTTTCTGAAAGCTCCAAATTATTTTTCACAAGGCTCAATTGACTTGCTGCGCGGATGAAGAGAAAACCAGCAAGTTTCTCAGCTCTGCAGGGCTCAGTTTGCAGCATTTTTGCCTTTTTTGCTTTGCTGCAACCCAGAATGAAACTTCCAGAGTTCTAACATTAATAGAACAAAAACTTGACCTTAAAAAAACTCTTGTTCTGCAGTTGCTGTTTGAGAAATGCTTTGAAGTGGTTTTTTTTTCTCATTTTCATTAGATTTCAGTGTATGAGAAACAGGATTACACTGTTCCCCTTGGGTGAAGAATATCCCTAGAGAGAATAAAAGTTGCAATATTACATATTTTTGCAAATCAAGGGGTCTAGGACTACAAACAATGAACCTAATTGCTGAATTGGGTATTCTAAGATAGTCGTGGATTAAAAATAGGTTTCTTTGAGATCAGTGTTTGATAATATTGAGAAACAGAGGAAAAGTAAGATGGGAAGAGCATAATTATATTACCTTTGTCCATCCCCTTTCTTCAGAAGCCTGTGACATTACATCTTGAATAGTGATGCAAAACTCAGTGAGGAGCCTTCATGGATATTAGTACTTTACTATCAGTGTAACTGGTTTATTTGGGTTACGTTTATCAGCGTAACAGGTTTATTTTATCAAGAGATTAAAAGCTTTTCCATTGGATAGACATTTCAAACTAACCTGTGGAAAACGGAGGCATTAGCGTATTTTCAGAAGCTAATTAGCAATTAGTTAATCTCTGATAAAGGTCTGGTTATTGAACGTCTACCAGAATTTGAGTGCCGCTGTGTGGGTGCACTTCTCTTGCTTCTGTGTTTCCAGTTGGAATTGGGCAAAGTCCAGAAACTATCTTTAGGTCTGAATATCAAGGGAAGACTCCCCACCTGAAATACTTCCTTGGCATGTAAAAATTGTTTATCCCAATGTTGCAAGCTCAGAGTCAAAACTCTTCCAGAGTCCTTGCCATCTGTAGAACAGTGTGGGCTGTTTGTCACGGAGACACCCTGTTTAGTTAATGTCCTGCATAAGACCAGAAACTGGCCAGTGTCCTGGGAACTTGAAGAGGGAATTTTAATACAGAAAAAAAAAAGGACATATGTCTTAAATTCCATAGACCAAACACTTTCTTGGTAGCTTTCTTGGTAGTTGTAAAACAAGTAATAGTGTTCAGTGCAACAGAAGACCAGCTTTTTGGCTTTGATAGTAATTGATCCCCAGTATTCCTAAGATTTAATTTGTTTGGTGAGAAACTGAACTTCTGCAAAGGGAGTAAAGCTTCATGGATCAGGAATAACAGCTGTTAAATTATTTCTGCTGCTTTTTACCTCTTTGCTTATAGAGCTCTACTTTGGACGGCAGCCAATGTATGCTAGTTGGAAGGTGAGATAGCAGGTTTTATTACATGAGTCAGTTCCCAGTGTTAAAAACCTGAATACGCTAAGAAGTGAAACAGATGTGGGTTCTTTTTCTGGCTGTTCTCAATTCTGGCTTCTGTGTATAGAAGCTTTAATTCCATAAAAGTATTCAAGTTAGTAAAATACCTATGGAGGTTAGCTCATAGCAAGGAGAATAACTCAAGGAGCACATACTTACTATTTAAAAGAAGTGTGGTGCTGGTAGGATGTTGAGATTCAAAAGTTTGGAATCTTATATTCCAGCAATTGAATGTTGACAAGGGACTACTCAAATTTGGACTTGCATATTAAGGTCTTTATGAAGTTACAGCAGCCTTTTTTTTAAAGTTACTTTAATCTAGAAATTTTTATTCTGTACTACAGCCTTTGGTAGTAGACTGACATGAAAGCTTATCCTTTGATTAAAGATAAGCTATTGGCAACTGTGACATGCTTTTTAAAAACTTCCCTTACATTATAAATGGTATTTTCATCTGTAAACAGCTATTGGATACTAGAGGAAGGAATACAGTATACAATACTGAATGTTAATTTATGCAGAAGTGCTGGTACAAAGTATTTGCTGCGTGTTGCATGAGAGCAGGGTGTGCACACACCGTGGTGCATCAGCTGCTCCGATAACCAAGAAGCCGTTTTCAAGCTACAGCGCTGGACTATGCAGTGCAAAGGGTTGGAGTGGAAGAAGGCTGAGAGGGATTTAAGATCTTTTTTTCTCCTTCTAACAGACAACACTGGACTTTTATTGTTTGAAACGCCCTTTTCAGTACTTGTAATTAATATTGATTTGAAAGGGTCATGCTTTTCCTAAGCATTAAAATGTGGTGCATATTTTATGCAGCACTGTGTTCACAAAGGAATAAATGTGGATTTGTGACTCTTAAAGGAGTGCATTGCAAAACTTTGTTCAAAGGGTAAAAAGCATTTAAGTCGAAAGGTTAGATTCAGTCACCATTAACTTCCAGTGTGACGGCACCAGCTTGTTCTGCTACAGCCTGTCTCCCACAGACCCTGTGTGGTGGTCGTGCACATTTCCCATCGGGTCTGCCAGTTCACACGCTCGCCCACAAGAAAGTGCATTACAGAGCTGAATATCGGAGGGGAATAGGGAGCTTGCTGTAAAAGAGAGGCTGTTGGGCAGATACAGGACAGGAGCAGAAGGAGGGAACATCAGTGAATGAAACTGGATTTGGTTTGGGGAGGGAGGCTGGAGCAGAGGAACATGGAGGGAGTTAGGCAGATTTAGGGGAAGAACTCTTTGTAAGGGAGCCTGGGGAATAGTGGGGAAAAAGTTGGGGCAAGCTGGGGAATGTGTACACATTCCTTTGCTTCTTGTATTGAACGAGAAGGTAATGGGAGGAAGGGAACATGCAGGAATATTGGCCTGGGGATAGGGAGAGAAGCAAAGCTGTAAGATCACTTCTTTCTAGTTCCTGAGACAGACACAGAAAACCAAGCTGCTCTAAGTTTGAGGTCTGCTCCCTTTATGTAACTTGACCCCTCTTGATTTCAGCTGTAAAAAACAAAAAAAAAAAAACCCCAACAGCAAAAAGGACAGTATCAATACTGAGCACAAAAGACAACCCTTTGTCACCAGAACAGTTCATCTACCCTGTGCCCTGCCACCTTCTTTCTGGGTGGGAGGCTGGGAGAGGATTTCAGCTGCTCTGGAGGCTGGCTTGCAGGAGAAGAGGCAGTTCAGGCCTGCCAAGTGAGTGGAAATACACTGGTTGCATGGTGTAAAGGCAAGTGTGTTCATCACACTTGGGGATCTGCAGCTATTCATAACTTTCTCAATGGTATGTGTGGCCAGCGCAACTGAAAGTTGTTTGGTTCGTAGTGTAGCTTATGTTTCTCCTCTATAATATACCTTTTCCTTGTGGGGAAGAGAGGAGAGCTGAGATGGAGTGAACATAGGGCAATTCTGTTGGAGGATTTTTCCTGTCATTATTTCATCCTCTCAGGTTAATATAGATACAGGATTACCAACACAGAGCTCAGTTCAGTCAAAGCCACAGATGAGTCTTGGTCTTTTCCTTTGTGGTGTAAAATTAGAGAGACTGTTGGCTTGAGTTGCTTCCTTGATGGTCCTTAAATGAAAACAATCAGCTAACCTAAATATTTGTTCTGAAGGGGATAGATTTCCCTACCTGTTAGGAGTAAAATGTCTCTAAATAGGTAATCCTGTTTATAGAGAACTGGTATTGTTTCCTCAAAGTGTTACAGCTATGTAGAAAACTTCTGCTTACATACTTAGAGGACCATAGCTACAGTAAAATGCCACTATCCTTATTTATGGGATAGAACGCACTGTAGCTAGTGGTCAGCAGTGAAAACAGTTTTAAAGCATTCCAGCATTTATTGCATGGATTTTTTTTTTTTCATATCACATTTCAGATTCTACAGGCTTTGTCAAGCAAGTTACTGTGTCATTTGTTCTGCCCACAGCTTGTGTTGTGTTGATTACTGGCCAGATGATCTCAGCTTTTACTGTGGGCTAGCTCAGGGGAAGATCCTTACTGAAGGGCTTAAGAACAGGCAATATTAGGTTTCAGCCATCCTTTTCCATAGCAAATAGTTGAATTCCCTTTTTGTTGGGAAGATCCAACTCTAATTCTGCCTGAAAAGTTGATGTAGGACCATAAAACCTGTCTAAGAAGCAAGGGAAGCTGGAGGTTGTTTGAGATTGTTTTTCAGATTTGGTCTAAGAAGGTAGGAGGGTGATTGTGATAATTGGTGGTTTGTGGATTTTTTTGTTCGTTTTTAGGAAAACACCAGAAGCTTTTCCCCAAAAGCTTTATTTTTCACTTCTCAGGAAAAACAGTGTTTCTGAAATAAAATTGCTGGGATCTTTGACTTTACAAATTACTTGTGTGACTTATTCTTCAGGTTACTATCGTACAGAAAGAGATAAGGGGACACAGTATGAGCTGTTTTATAAGAAGATGGATGGCATGGAATACAGGCATGTCACCTTGTTCCGACCTTTTGGACCCCTCATGAAAGTGAAGAGTGAAACGGTCGATATTTCTAGATCAATCATTAACATTATTGTTCCTCTTGCTGGAAGAACTGAGGCATTTGCACAATTTATGCAAAACTTTAGGTAGGTGCATGAGATTCTATAGTGAGCTATATTGCTGATTTTCAGTATTTTGTTCCATTTTCAAAATGAATTTCTGTTCTTGTGGATTTGCAACAGAACTAATGATTCCAACATTGTGTGCAACTGCCTTGGGATGTTTGTAATTGAACCTATTGTATGGAGAAAATATTCCTTTCTAAAAGGATTCAAGAGATTCTCAAACTGCACCAAAATCCCTTTTAGACCAAGTACCAGGGCCACTGTGAACCTGGACACAGATGATCTTGAACATTGTTTCTGTATTTACAACAGTTTTTGAGCTCCTGTTTATAAAATAAGGTGTTGGAATGAGACACACAGTATTGGAACCTTCTGATTCAAATGGGAAAGATGGGGAAAGAAGAGGGAAAACATCTTTCCTTGTTTTCATTAGAAGCTTGTTGAAGTCTGACCAGAATACTTAAATGTGCTAATACTTTTAAATGCAATAGCTTTTAAGTACCTGAAGCTTCTGTTGTGTTGCAAGTAATTATTAATATCAGCTTATCTTTGTGCTTATAGGGATGTGTGTATTCATCAGGATAAGCGTGTTCACCTCACAGTGGTGTATTTTGGACAAGATGGTCTATCAGAAGTAAAAAGCATCCTAGATTCCGTAGCCAGGTAAGTATGTTGATCCAATGTCAGTCAATACAAACTGTATTGATTGGCATTTAAAATGTTTTTTAAAAAGGATGAAATAATAAAAAGAATAATTTTATAGTCTGTTACAGGTTAATAGGAAAAGTAAGCTTTATTTACAGTACAGTATTTTTTGGTTACAGATTAAGTTGCAAAAGTCTCCTGAAGACTACTAAAAATCAAGTTATAGGCCAAAAAAAGACTAACAGCAGTGGTTTTGAGGTTTCTATCTGACAGTCCAAAAAAATAACAGGGGTGAATATTCAGTCATTCTAACAGATCGGTAAGAATTAAAGTTCTTTTGGAATGGGGATGTACATTTTGATAGTTCTTTCACTGGAAAAACAATTTTGTTTAATGATAAGGAAGAGAAATGTAGTCAAAGTAGGCTGGTGGACTGCTGACTGTGAGAAGTTAAGCTTCGCTCTCTATCCTCTAGGTACTAGGTAATTGGGCCCATACTTACCCTCTGCTATAAAACAACTGTAAACACTGTTTCATTGTGGCTGTCTCAGCAAATAGCATTACAGCAGTATGGATTTAAAATTCCCAAAATTTGCATTTTTTTTTTTTTTTTTGCTTAAGAGGGATGGGACAGGTAATAGCATCCGTAAGCCTGTAGCTAAGGGGCTCTTTCTCTGCCTGAGCTCTTGTGCTCGTCCCTGAGCTGGGAGCCTGTTACCCTTGTTAGCCAAGGATGAGCTGGGCTACCAAGTATCCCCATCTCACAACACAGGCCAAGGCTCTGCTCAGTGAAATGTATTAGGCACAGGTTATTGTGTTGCTGGCTTAAAATGTGACAGCGAGTTGGCCTGGCATGCACAGACATCTAGGAAGGGAGGAGTGCTTCTGCCTTCCTCCCACAGAGCCTCCCTGGCATCTAGCTTGCCTGGTGTCGGCCACTTCTGTTTCTAAGGCCTCTCTGCTGCCTGCCGTGCTCCCTGTGAGAAGTCCTCTTCTCACAGCATTGAGTCAGATTCAGTGCTGCAAACTCACTGGGCATTTATCTGGTTCTTTATCTTCTTAGTGGTGCTACTGTTGAGTATCTTCACTCTGTTCTCTGCAAGCATTGACCTCTGAAGTGTCTCTGAAGTAGACGCTTAACTTTGCTTGAAGATATTCCCCAGTCTCCCTTTGCTGATCCTTCCCTCTTCTGCGATGAGTAGAGGCATGTGTGCTACTGGTATGAAATAGAGAGGAGAAGCAAACTGACTGGGTTACGGTGGCATCACCAGGCAGGTGGCCTTTTGCCTCTTGAGTTTGGTGGTGCCGGGACTCTGGCTTTCCGTTTGCCCTCCTCTCTGACACAGTGAAGACAGAGATATTGCTCTATTAGTCAGGACTTCTTAGCTTGTGGGGACAAATTCTAGATGGCATCGTAATTTCAGAGAACACTTTAATTCATGTCGGTTGTTAAAAGGCCTTTTAAATCTGTCTGAATGATTAAATGCAAAGTGAAGTTATGAAGTAAGACTGAGGTCCATCTTTTTACAATGTCTAAACTCTGACACTTAAAATAGACAACTAAGTGGAACAGATATTTTTTCTCATCCTGATGATATAACTGGTTTTTTTAAAAATTTCCGGAATGAAATTACTGTAAAACGCTGAAAAAGTATAAACGGTCCCTTCCGCCCCCCCACACGGATTTATTTTGGGTTTGGCTCTGTTTTTCTTCTAGAGAAACTAATTTCCACAATTACACGCTCGTCTCTCTGAATGAGGAATTTAACCGAGGCCGGGGACTTGACATGGGTGCCAGAGCCTGGGAAAAGGGCGAGGTCCTGATGTTCTTCTGTGATGTTGATGTTTATTTCACAGCCGAGTTCCTCAACAGTTGTCGCTTAAATGCTGAGCCTGGTATGTTCTTTTACAGTTGCTGTAACTGAGTCTTGTCATCTTGTTTGCCTTAAACTGACCCGTGCTGAGCTTATAGAAAACTAACTTGAATGGTGAAGCTTATTCAATACCATGCACCTAGGAAGATGAAAAAGCACAAAAGACAATAGTATTTAGACTGAGAAATAACTTTTGCATTAGCGTAGCTTGTTTTCAGAACATGTTGTCTTTTTTGTACAATAAGTACAATTTTCACATTTTCTTAAGATTTGGCTGTCAAAGAAAGCTGGACAGTTTAATTGCTTTAACAGTTAGACTGCATGTAAATTTGTATACCAAAACTCAGTGCAGCACTTTACGGTGGCAGGTGATTTTTTTTATACTGAAATCTTTAACAAGTTTGTGTTGTCTTCTCACACTTGTATGGCCAAGACACATCACATACGAATGGTTTTCAGTAGAGCTACACAATGTGCTCCTTACAGAGACTGAGCTAATGTTCCGCATTTACATCCCAAGCTCTGAAATTTTCTGACCATTTTTCACAAGTTTGTGTGAAGCTTGTGTGTTCTACAAGCTTCTGCCAAGAAGGATAAAGCTTTCTTGAGTTAACAAGTGTGCTAGTTAAGACCTTCTCCTGTGAAACATTTGGGGTTTTTTTAATGCTTACTCTTATTCCAGATTTGTTGCAGCCAGAAACCATTTTCTCCAGATGTCAATTTTGAATGAATAGATACTTTTTCTTCACATAATAAACAGGCAAGAAGGTTTGCTATAAGCCAGATATTTGGATTCTGTTTCTTGCTTTTTCTTTCATTTCTGCCTGTCTCTGCACTTCATGAAACTAATTTTATAAATAATTGGAAAAACTTTGGAGAGGAGTGTCATGTGAGCTTTCACAAGGAAGGGAGTTTGAAAGACTGCTTGACAATTCATCCTGACAGTTTGTCACCTTTGCTTCAAGTAAGATCTGAAAGTGCTTCTCACGTGTTCAGAGTTCATGCCCAAATCCAGGATACTGAGTATTCTCGTGGGCTGTCATCGATACCTTTGCACCACTGGCAATGCAAGAGATTCTTGAAAAATATTTATCTGGCTTCTGTAATAGGCATAATTGGCATAGAACTGGTGTCACAGCATCATCAGGATACTCATGATGCTTAATGCCCTTGCAGGACATCCTGGATGTACACATTTTTAATGCTTGTGGAAAGAGGCACTCTCATAAAACTGAAGCTATGCAAGGTGTTACTTGGACTTGGTTTTAGCTTTACTGCATACCATTATTGCAGGGATTTTTCACTGTCATCTAATGTGATATTGTGATACATACTTATACACATATAAAATATTATATATATATATCTATATATAAATGCATACCTATAGAGTATATATAAATATGTGTACATATATATTTTTTTAATCCTGTGAGCTCTGCCTCACTAGATATTATGAGCTACCTAGCAGTTAGACCTTATTTATTTTTCATTAGATGGCTAGTAGCTAATATTTCATATAAAGAGAATATTTTTAGTTTCCTCTTGCCTTCAGAAAGGATGCCCACAGTGAGTAACAATTACCTTTTGACTTCCAGGGAGAAAGGTGTTTTATCCTGTGGTATTCAGCCTTTATAATCCTGCTATTGTCTATGCCAACCAAGATATACCACCCCCTGTGGAGCAACAACTGGTAAGCAGTGTGGTTTATTCTGGATAGAATTGGTTGTGCTTTGTATTAAAAGAAAATTGAGTGTAACTTAATAGTCTGTTTGGGATATCTTATGACCTTTGGCAGTGTGTATCTAAACACTTTTCTGTTATGGGCAAAGCACTTGGAAGAAAAGCTTATCAAACAGTACAAAACTCGTTCTTAGATAAACTTGGAGTTCTGCATAGATTTAAAAAAAAAAAATTGCTACTAGTCAAATGAAGTTGGTAGTTCTGATCTCTTGCTTAATACTGGCTTGCAAAGCCAGTACGTTAGGAGGATAGTGGCATAACATGGCAGCAACTTTCGTCTTATGTTCCAGCAAACAAAGAAGTGGTGAAAGGGCAAAACCTCTGAATGGTGCCTGATAAGCTTCCCTCATATCGACTCTCTGCTGACTACCAAATGGTAGCTGCAGGAAGCGTGCCATGTAACTCGAGGTGGCCTAAGATGTTCAGTCAGTTGCTTTTTTCATGCTGTGGACAGCTGTACTCTGTGCAGATTGTTTCTTTACCTTTGCCGTCCAACATCTGCCAGAACTATGGGCTGTTATACCGCTAATCTCATCTTGCTTTTGGAATGAGAAACACTGCTTCTAGAGAAGCTCGTAGTCAAAATAATAAACAAATAAATCCCACAAAAATTCAGGAGAATAGGTTTAAGGATAATTTGAGGCTCAGCAGAAAAAAGTTCGTACTGTGTTTCTGGGCCTTTGTGGGCTGAAGATGGAATGGCCATGGTCAATATCCAGCCTGACTCTCTTTCAAGAGAAATTTCATAAATGACAATTGGGTTTCACAGCTTGGACTTCTGAGGTAGACAGGTTTGGAGGAGAGAAAGCAGAGTGCAATACAGCCTTACTAAGAGAAAAGAAAAACATAATAACCCTCACCCTCTATGTTGTTTGCAAGGATCCTACTGAAAGTAGGAGGGAAGCTTTTGCATATGGCCTCAGGTAGTCACAGCTGAGAGAGGAGTGAGCTCCTGCCTGACAACTCTGCTCTTTACTTTTTTGAATCCAAGAACTTTATGGTTGCTGATTTCAGTCACAAAACTTACTTTTCTTGTCATACCAGAACAAGAAGAGACAAATGTGGCCTTAAAAATGGGGTAGGAGTTGGAGTATCAGGAACAGATGATTTGGCAATAGACTTACCAAAAATATAGCAGATATATAGAAATTAGAGGTGGTGTGGCAGAAAGGTAAATGTGGAAACTGCAATGCGAGTAAGTATTTGGAATCAGATGGCAAAGGGTGAAGTGAACAGCAGGTAATTAGGAAGTCCACATCTGTGCATGACACAGAAATACTAGAAGCGTTATATGCTGTATCCTGCACTAAGCAAATGATTGGAAGAGCTTAGCTTTCTACAAAACCAAGTGCAATGTACCTCCTTCAATGTATTTTGCATTTCAAAAATATATTGTTTTAAAATTGCAGGTACACAAGAAGGATTCTGGTTTCTGGCGGGATTTTGGCTTTGGGATGACTTGTCAGTATCGGACAGACTTTCTGACTGTTGGTAAGATGAAACCGTAAAAAAAAATTTCATGTGTTTAAGAATTGATTCTCTGTTCTTGTCTAATGACAGGAAAGTAATGCATTTATTTCTTCTATTTCTTCTCCTAAGCCCAGCAGTCAGACTTGCTTGACAAGTTTGACCCATGAGATAAATTAGTTTTTCTAGATTTTGATGTCCCACCTGATGAGCGTTTGCTGAAAGTCACAATATTTTTAGTAACAACATTTCACTCTAGAACTTTTAAAGATCATTCCTGTTTTTTGTACTTTGTGACTGTCTGAAGCAAATTAATGAAGTTTAAGAAACACATCCCTCAAGTAGACCGCTAACATACACAGGAAGCATTCAAATTCTTTTTTTTAAATCACCTTGAGTAGCTGAATTTAATTGTTCGAGGCTTTAGAAATAGGCTTTGGCACCCCCTCGTGGCATGCTGTTAAAACTGAGAACAGCTTGGTGTGCTTGAATTTGGAAGATGGTCTTGAAGGTAGTCTGCCAGAAGGTGTAATGATATAGCCCTATATGCTGTATAATGGCTTGAATGCAGGCTGATTTCTAATAGCAGTCATATTGCCATGTGTATGGTATAGGGTAAACAAAGACTTCATAATAGAGTTTTGAAATTGTGCATGAGTCTGGGTCGATTTTCACTAGTGTCCTGGAAAGGTAAGAGAACTTAAAATGGTGGAACAGGTTCCTTTCCTTAATCCAGCTTTTTAAGTTGTGACCTATGGAGTAATTGCTGGCATTTTTAGAGAGGGCTTTTAATATGGTGCATGACTGCTTCATTTTCCAACTGCTAAAATCCATTATGATTGCTAAAAATAACCCAAAAGCATAGCCAGTGAGGTTTGCCTACAGTTTTCTGCAGCTGTCACATGGGATGTCATGCATAATGTGATTTGGAGACAGTGTTCTAAGAGACTTTCTGAAGCCAGCAGTGCATGATCTGTGTCCTGGGCAGTTTCCACCGCAAAGGATGTGGTATGCCTGAAGCTCCTCTCCTCAATTTGGCATGCTTTGACATGGAGAACTTTAAAGTTAATTACTCTAGAATTTCTGGTATGGTGTACCAAAATAATGTTCTCTGATATTGTTTTTATAGGGGGTTTTGACTTGGAAGTGAAAGGCTGGGGCGGTGAGGATGTTCATCTTTACAGAAAGTACTTGCACGGTGACCTTATTGTGATCAGAACACCGGTCCCCGGTCTCTTTCACCTCTGGCATGAGAAACATTGCGCAGACGAACTCACTCCAGAGCAGTATCGCATGTGTATACAGTCCAAAGCCATGAACGAGGCCTCTCACTCACACCTTGGGATGCTGGTCTTCAGGGAGGAGATCGAGACTCACCTCCGTAAGCAGGCTTACAGGACTAACAGCGAAGCAGTGGGTTAAATGTCACCCCCATGACATTTGATGACTTCAAATTCACAGTGAACCAGCATCATTTTACAGCCTTAATTCAGCTTAAAAATGCAGTGCCTCTCTTTTTCAGTGAAGAAGAGTTTAGGGGGTTTTTGGTTCTTGTATTTGTTATCTGAGTAATTCTTTGACTGTTATGCTGTTATCTACATATCTTGCAAGTTCAAGCACCTCAAATAAATTGGAAAGTGTCTGTAGTTCAAGGAAAGTGTCTTTGGTATCAATTGGAAAAATCAGTGGAACGTACAACTCAACACTTTTCCACACGGTACATTTCAATTCTTATATTTGCATTATTTTAAGAATTAAATAATGTTTTGTCTTTGTCTTGAGTATTTTCAGTCTCTATGGCTCACTGCACTGTGACTTTAGAAGGATACTATACTTACACTCCATTGTAGAAACAAGAGAAAGGTGTGAAAAAGAATCCTGCCGTGCGAGGTATATGGGACGCGCTGACTGGTACGCCAACTGTTCAGGTTGCTGATTTCACAGCAAGGGCTTGGTGCTGCATTTGCTGTATGAACAGACATTCACATGGTTGAATATAGAATAATCCATGTTAAAGAGGGGGAAATGAAAATCTTTTTAAGTGGAATTTTGGAGCATATAATGTAATTTCACACTGCAAAAGAGACACCACCTTTTTGTCTCAGTGATGGATCAGACCAGTTGGGAATGTTCCAGTTGGGTGTTTCTGGGTCTGGTCTTTTCCCACAGTAGACTCCGCATCACAGAATCCCTTCTATAAACTGAGCTTTGCTCTTAAACTCGTTTGTTTAAAGCTTTCTGGCCCCACTCCTCCTTATTCAAATGCCCTGCTTGTACATCTTGTCCTTTAAGTTGAAGAACTACCTTTTCATTCCCATAAATTTATTAGAGGCCCATTTGCTACTATGCCAATATTATCCTTTTGCTTTCTTTTTCTGGCATTTTCCTTACATGGTTTTGGAAGGCAGTCACATACTCTTTACCTTTTTCACCGACTGAAAAAGCAAGTGCTATTACAGTCTTTCTTCATATGATGCTCTCCATTCCACTGATTATGCTAGTAGCCTTATTCGTCACTTTTTCAGTTTGAGGGGGTTTTAGTTTTGTTTTGTTTTTCTTTGTTGTTTTTTGGTTTTTTTTTTTTTGAGCATGCATAACCAAAATTATGCTGTGGTCTCATTAGTGCCTTGTACAATGGCACTACTACTTCCCTACTTCCCTTTTGGGTATTTTGGGATGCATAAACAGTTTAAATGCAGGCAGGTCGTTTTTCTTAATGTTGTCTTATATGCTACCAAATGGCATGCCTCATTTTTAATACATTTGTTTATAGAATGAATGCTGAGAATGCTAATTCAGTGGTTAAACCATTTGCATGGTCTCCACTGAATTTAGAAATTAGTTCAAAACCCTTCTCAAACCAGGTAATTGATCTGTTTATAAATTCAGTTTGCTTCAAGAATTCTGAAGGCAATTAAAGATTTAAATGGTTGATTTCTGAATAGCAGATATGCTGTGCAAATAGTTCTGGGCACTGATCCTTTTTATATGTACATAAAATTTGCCTTTATGTAACTTATTGTGGAGAACAGTGTACTGTATTGTACTTAGAGTGAAGAGAGAATGCATTGCAAGACTTCTTGCAATTGATATTCTCAATATAATAAATGGGATTTCTGCATTTTAGAAATTGTTTTAAGCTGTTTCTTTGAAATAAGTTTTTACAATAATAATTTACAAGGCAGATGACATGGTGGATTCAAATAGTAGTATTTGGAGTGAGAAGTTCAACCAGCTCATTTTTGCATCTGAAGTGAATATTTACCCAGATCAGATACAAAAGTGCGGAGTTAGTTCCCCAGACAATTTAAACTTATACCAGATGTTATCTTAGAATCATAGAATTGTCTAGCTTGGAAAAGACCTCTAAGATCATCAAGTCCAACTGTAAACCTAGCACTGCCAAGCCCAGCACTAAACCATGGCCCTAAGTGCCACATCTACCTGTCTTTTAAATACCTCTAGGGATGGGGACTCAACCACTTCCCTGGGCAGCCTGTTCCAATGCCTGACTACCCTTTCAGTGAAGAAGTTTTTCCTAATATCCAATCTAAACCTCCCCTGGCACAACTTGAGGCTGTTTCCTCTTGGCCTATCGCTTGTTACTTGGCAGAAGAGACTGACCCCCACCTCACTACAACCTCCTTTCAGGTAGTTGTAGAGGGTGATAAGGTCTCCCCTCAGCCTCCTCTTCTCCAGGCTAAACAACCCCAGTTCCCTCAGCCTCTCCTCATAAGACTTGTGCTCTAGACCCTTCGCCAGCTTCATTGCCCTTGTTTGGACATGCTCCAGCACCTCAATGTCTTTCTTGTAGTGAGGGTAGCCTCACTGGTGCTGAGTACAGGGGGACGGTCACTTCCCTGGTCCTGCTGGCTGCACTATTTCTGATACAAGCCAGGATGCTATTGGCCACCTGGGCCCACTGCCAGCTCATATTAAGCTGGCTGTCAACTAACACCCCCAGGTCCTTTTCTGCAGGGCAGCTCTCCAGCCACTCTTCCCCAAGCCTGTAGTGTTGCATGGGGTTTTTGTGACCCAAGTGCAGGGCCTGGCACTTAGCCTTGTTGAATCTAATCTTACTTTAAATCTTTCTTACTTTAAGATGGTGGTTCCGAATAAAAATTATAAGGTACCAGTGAGAAAAAGATTAAATACATAAGCATGATGATTTGGGGTAAAGATATAAGTGGGACCTTCTACTGAGACTCCAGCCCTTAAACCTTCAGCTGCTATTGCTGCACAAGAATGAGCATCAAAAATGTCTCTTGCTGACACCACCACTGCTTGGCATGCACTGGAATGGATACTGAGGTAGTGCAGAGGTGTTAAGCATTGCTGCAGCTCAGCTCTTATCACTCAATCACTATTTCAGAAGGATCCGGTTGTCCTAGTTTCTGTGTTTTGGAAACACAGCAGACTGCTGATGCTGATAGCCAGATCTCTTCTGCTGCTTTCCACTGGGTGGTTGTGCTTGTCGGCAACGGAGAACAGTGTCACCTGTTAGCGGCATCTGTGCAATCAAAAACGGGCTATGGTGTGGATGCTGGAAGGCAGTTAGGGAAGTCTGAAACTGAATGCAGTCAGCGGGAGCCACTTCTGAAAACTTTTTTTCCATTCATATCCCAGAATGAGGAAGTGAATGCATTGGAGTTAAAAGGAAGTCAGAAGTAGTTAATGTCAGGGTTGGGTATTGACACAAGTAGTCCAAATGACTATTTGAGGACTCCTGAACTTTTGGAGGCCCTTTCAGGCCTGGTCTTTCTCTTGTCGTGGTTCAGCTCCCTGCAGTAACTGCCTGCATAAGAACATGTTTCTGTGGTACACGTCAGGTTGGCAGCTCATTAAGAGTATAGGCAACTATGACCCATTGTGTTCATGCTGTCTTACAAATACCAGCAATACTGGTATGGGCTATGTGCTATGCTAAGTCATTGCAAGGTACTTGCAGCCCCCTGGCAGTAACAAGAACAATTTTAAGCATAGGATCTTCTCGGATGCATTTTGCTGCTGCGTGGTACTAGATTCGGTACGCATGCCTCACCGTGTGCATCTGCAGGTAAGATGGTTTTATTGCTAACAATCAATCTGTAGAACGTTTACAGAAGGAAAATAGTGGGTTGTAATAGTGCTTTACAGGTTGAGGGGTAGCTTACTAGCAACTTTGACATCGGAAATTAAATCAATTACTTAAATTAAAGCTGTTATGATTTAAAATTTACACTTCCAGGGAATTATTACTAATCATGTACAGTTCATGTTCCCTAATGACTTATCATTTTACCTACTCATTTGTCTCTATTATTTAAATTAGATTAAATATATAAATAACTACCTTAACTTTACAGCTTTTAATTAAATCTTAAATAGGGGGGAGTTTATTATCATTCTCAAGTATTTTAACTTTTGCTTTTGGGCTAGGCTACAGGCCTTGGCTATTTAGTTAAAAAAAAGATATCTAAAATTTTTACTTTAGATAATGATTGTCCCTCAAGGAATTAATAGGTATTTTTTCAAAGTAAGATGCAATGTTTTCCTGCAAGAAAGGCAGTCACTGGACTAAGTTAACTGATGACTATTACATGGATGGATTATTTTGTCTATTTTAACAGGGATTCTGCGGAAGAGGACAGGATCCTTTATATATCCCTAGTAATCCCAAAATAGAGAAAAGGTTGAGATCTATGAATTGCAGAGAGAATGAATCTGTTCAGTGTATGCTCCAAAAGTTATTCAAATTTCTAGGAATACATCATAAGATCACCACATGGTGGCTGCTTTCCTGGTCCTGTTCTCCTGCTTTTCATCATTCTTTGTATGGGAGTTTTTCTGGCAAAAGGTCCTCTGGAAGCACTTCACTTTTTCTTGCTTTTCCACCATAGTTTCGGGGAAAGGCATGGATAGAGCCTCTTTCAGGATGCCAATTTTGCAGTTGTTATCAGTTCCTGCTGCATTACCCCAAGGTAACTGATCAAATGTCTTCTCTTTTATGTGGCTGTGGATGACAGTGACACTTTAATTACACTCCCGAGGAATTAACACAAAGCTAAATCACTGCCCAGCATTGGCCAGAAAAATGTGTGAATCTGGAGAGCAGTTTGTTCTCCCCAAGTTCTTAGCATACCTACAAGAAATTACACATGCTGTAGAACTACATACTGAAAACTTGTATGGCTCTTCTTTTCATCACCTCTTTAAATCTTACATCGTGTTGCCCTGGTGCCTTTCTTCACCAGGCTTCTTGTATTATGCTTCGTTTATCTCTGTGTGCTACCTTCCTTATTAACCCAGTCTCTTTTTTCTTCGATATGGCTCCTCTCTTATTTCTTCCAACTCTGTGCCTTAAAGCCTTCAGCCTTTTATATGCTCCAGTCCTGGCTCTTAGCCAACGCAGGAGCCATAGGGAGTCTCAGTTGGCGGCGGTCTGGTGGGGATGAGCGGCGATGCCTGGCAAGGGAAAGCCCAGCGGCCGGACCCTGCGCGCAGGACGGGAGCTGCCAGGCAGT